TCGGGTCTGCAAGCAAGGGAAGGCGCAAGGGGAAGCAGGGCTTTCGCACCGTGGACCGACCCGTGACGGGATCCTACGTGCGGGACCATAACAATATGACACCTGGATACGTCTACATGATTAGCATATTGGTTTTAAAACCCAAATCCAATTAAATTTGGCAAGTTTTGAAAGAGCCTTTGCTCTCCTTGGATAGTTGGAATATATAAAGAGATCTTCCAAATTCTCCTAATTAATAGTTACTATTGATGACCCAGAAAATGCCATTTGCTGGCTTGAGATGCATTTCATTCTTGCTGTTACATTTGCCAAGTAATGTGCTATATGCAAATTGTATTGGGGTGTCGGACTGCTGTAGTACTGTTCTCTATTTTTTGTTGGTTGCTCCTCTTCAGTCCATAGGTTGAGGTGCCCTTTTCTCCCTTACCTAAAATTGTAAATATGCAGGTGGAGCTTTTCCGAAACGACCAACATCGTCTCAGGATTGTAGTGGACAGCGAGAATGAAGTGGACCTGATGGTGCAGACTCGACATATGCGAGATATTGTTGTCCTTGTGATCCGAGGCCTTGCACAAAGATTCAATAGCACTTCCCTCAATTCGCTTCTCAAAATAGAGACATGAATATAAATTGTAAAGAAAGTAGTCACTGGATCAACAAAGTACACAATCTTTGGATTTAGGTAGGGAATTGCATAGCTTTTTCCCCCCCGATTCTTCCTTGGTTTTTGGCACGGCACTGTTGCTGTCATTGTTATTGTCGTTTTGTTGTTTTAAGTCAGGAAATCTTGTGCAAGCAGCGGTTTTGCGGCATCGTTTTTTTCTTTGTAAATTATATTCTATCTTGTGGTCATGGTATTCTTATAGTTGTGTATACAGACTTTGTAAGCAAGACATGTGGGTATATATTATTAATTGATTTACTTTCTTTGTAATTTCTGGTGTATTATCACCAAGGATAAATGCCAATTTCTGAATGTTTGTGATCATGACCGCTGCCAATTAGCAATATGCTTGGGAGTTRGGAGGAAGGGGGTGGAATCATCAGTTGAATTCTTGGAATCCTTAGTGGAAGATTAATGCTACCAATGGCATTGTACAGGCTGCAGGCCTTACTGGAGTATAAAGAGAATGGGAGATCTCCTAAAAGCAGAAATCGTGTGACTGGATGCCGTGCTATCAGGGTTAATGATTTTTGCTTCCAGGAAATCCCGTCTTGAGTATAGGTGTAAAGCAGCTTGGATGATTAATGTCTGATCTACCAGAATATTAACAGCATCTTATCTCAATGGAAGTAACCTGTGCTTTGAGCGTAGTGACACTTAATAGACCGACTTTCACTTCTGACGACATATCCTGCACTTTAGGCTGTGTTTGGTTGCAGTGCAAGTTTATTTGGACTAGTACAAGTAATTATTTTGCATGTTTCATACAGATTTTCTAAAAACTGAATAATTATTTATTTTTATTCAAATAATTATTTTTCTTATTTTATTCTAAAAATTAAATTAAAATTAGGAAAAGTAAATATGTAACAGAAATATTGAATGGATTTATGGACATAATACATCAAGTAGTTATTTTGCATGTTTCATTCTAATTTTCTAAAACTAAATAATTATTTATTTTTATTCAAATAATTATTTTTCATGTTTTATTCTAAAATTTAAATTACAATTAAGAAAAGTAAATATGTAACAGAAAAATTGAATGGATTTGATCTATGGACATGGTAGATCATCCATGGATCTACAACATACTCAGCCTATAGGGTTAAATTACATAAAATTAAAGAATTTATAAATATTTTTTATTCCAAATATATATATATATATATATATATATATATATATATATATATATATATAT